CAGGAGCACACAATTAGCCCAGCCCGGCCCTCGTTCAGGGCTTCCCAGCTGCTGCCTGAGACCTGCTTTTAATAAGCTTCAGACCAGAAAGCAAATCCTGGGATCCAACCTTGACTGAGAATCCCACAAAGACACGAGACGGGGCAGGGTGGTGTCTTCCTCCCTCCTGAGTGCCCACGTCCAGAGCAGGCCCACACATAGCAAATGACTGAAGGACAGGTATCCAGTCAATACATGGTGGACAGAGCACCTCTTCAACCAGCCATGTTCGCTGTGGTAGCAGAAGTGACTTTCAAAGGCAGAGGGTAGAATGGGTAGACCCAGGTCTCAAGGAAGTGATTCAGAATGCTTGGTGCTCCATGACTTTCACAACCCGCACATCACAAGGCCACTCTCTGAACAGTTGCCAATGCAGGAGGGGTCTCTACCCCCACTCACGGAGCCAAGTGGTCCTTTGAGTTTGGAGAGGGACTGTCAAAATGCCAGGAGGAGTCACAGGATTAAATCTGAGAAAGAGCCATGCAGGAGGTTCATGCAGCTCCTTCTTCAGTCGGTGTTTATCCGACCTACGCCTCCTGTGTGCTGCTCACAGAGCCCTGCAGGCTCAGCAGTTCAGTGCCCCAGCCAGTCACTGCTCCAGGTCTGCGGGTTGGGAGGCCAATGTCAGTCGGGCTGCCTGGGAGAGCTCTTCTCCATGAGTTTCTGGGAGCAGCAGGCCTGGGAGGGCATGTTCTTCTCAGGACGATGGCAGATATGTGAGCGAGCAGCTGCTTTTCATGCTGTTGGTTGCATAGCATTTAAGATCCGCTGGTCAAAACAAGTTATGTGGTCCATTCCAAAGAGGGGGACGTGCCTTCTGTCCCTGTAGACAGAAAACAGGAGGGAAAGAATGTGCCGAGCAAGGTGAATGAGTACATCAGAAATACCCGCCAGCCTCCCCAGTGTGAGGCTTTGTACTCTTCCCTTTACTATCAAGTGAGTGCCTGCAAGAGAAGGCCAGCTGACCCCCACCAGGCCCAGAGGAAGGGCCGGGCACTGACCTGGGTGGAGGGGTGTTGTCACCTGGGATTCTTCAAGTGGTGATGTGGAGAAAGTGTGACTAGAGACTCAAAGATGTCTTATTTCAAAATAGAATCCAGCTTCTGTGCGTGCGTGCGTGCATGCGTGCGTGTGTGTGTGTGTGTGTGTGTGTGTGCGCACAGGCATGCACGGTTGTTGGAGGAGTCTGATTTTTCAGGTGCTCTCCGACACCCTGAGTGGATGCCCTCTGTTTGAGGTGCTCACGTGGTGTTCCTCTCCACTGCCAGGGGACCTTGGCACATCGCTTAGCCTCTAGAGGCTCAGTGTCCTCAGCTGAGGATGGATTAGTAGCAGGGCGGCTCCCAGAGAGTTAAAACCAGTAGTTCATATAAAAGGGACGGTTGCTTTATATACATGAGGTATCGAAGGAGAGAAAGGAGTTTCAAACACTGTTGGATCTGAACGTTGAACAGTGTCAACCTCTTTCTCCCCATTTCTCTTTCCCTGTTCACCTCTCCCCATCTTGCCATCTCTCCCTCCACCTCTTTATTCGTCTCCCCACCTCTTCCTCCAGGTCTCTCTCTGCATCTCCGTGTCTCTCCGTCTTTCATCTCTCTCTCCCTCTGCCTCCTCAACCCCTCCCCCACTGCCCCTCCCCTCTCCTCCTTTCCCTCCTCCTCTCCCTTTCTATCCCTTCCTTCTGACTTCCGGGATGGGTCTCTTTAATCAGGCAAGCTTTCTCTAAGCAGCGGTAGAGCTGACCCCGACATCTTCAGAAATACCTAGCCCATAATGATATAATTTTCAAAGCTTCACTTTTATTCCAGCCAACAGTGCGCTCTATTTAAGGAATCAAATTACTCTAAGAAGTACTTTATGAAAATAGCAGTCTCCGTTCCCTGTTCTTTTTTCCTCCCCCAGAGCCATCACTTTCAACCATTTAAAACAGATTATCTTTGTGTTTATCTCTAAATAACATGGTGCATTTTTATTTTTCACTCTTCATTATGTTTTTAGCTCCCTCTACAGAAGGTAAGTAATTGACTTCACCACAGAATTACCCTCATCCCTAGACCCAAGACCCAATATGGTGGAGTGACTCTTTGGGTTAGATCATTATTAAGTAATTACATTGTTCTAACTGTGAAAATGCTTCTCCCACCTGGGTGAAGCAGTTAACTTGTACTTTTCCTTCCTGTGTGACATTGTTTTCATTGGAGTGAATAGTATCCCTCTCTTCTTTCCCTTAGTTCTCTGTGGATCTGTTATGGATTCAGCCCCCATGCTCATTGTCTAATTCTCCTCTCAGGGTGTTTAGACTTTGTCTGGCTTTCATCCTCTTGTAGGATTCTTTCCCACTGCCTTCTCCCCAGCCCCAAGCTGCTTGTTACCTTTGTCTCCTGTGTTCATCTCCTGGATGTATACCTCCCATTTTTCTCTTCATGGGATTTTGTATTTACTTTGATGGAGCATACCCTGAAGTAGCTTTCTGAGAAAAGGTTTATGGAAAGTAAAACTTTGAGATCTTATATATTTGAAAATGTTTATTATAGACTTACCCTTAAAGAAGAGGAATAAATTGTTTATTTTTGAATTGCTAGAAGTAAATTCTAGATTAGAATCATTTTTTTCCTCCAGAATTTTGAAAGCATTATTCTACTTCTAAATTCTCTGTGTTATTTTTAAGAAGCCCAAACTATTCCTGACATCTGACTTTTTGCAGATAACCTGGAAGTTGATAGGATCTAAAATTGATCAACTTTTTTTTTTTAAGAGAGAGAGAGAGGAGAGAGAGAGAGAGAATTTTTTAATATAATTTTTTCAATTTTTGGTGAACACAACATCTTTATTTTTATTTTATGTGGTGCTGAGGATCAAACCCAGCACCCCACGCATGCTAGGAGAGCACGTTACCACTTGAGCCACATCCCCAGCCCTGATCAACTTTTTTGATAACATGTTTTGGTATGTGTTGCATCCATTGGGTTGAACACTCGATGGTCTTTTAGCTCTGAAAGATCATCACTCTCTGTCTGGGAAATGCTCCTGAGTTTTTTATTGAGGTTTTCTGCTCCTTCATGTTTTCTATTTTTCTTGAAGGATTCTTATTACTTCTATGTTAGATAAACTAGACTGCTCTTATTCTTTTATTCTATTATTCTTTTCTTCTTTGTCCTTTTTTCTCTAATGTCGGGGAGATTTAGTTAACCTCATCTTTAAATTCTTCTACTGAGTTTTCTTTAGTTCTGATTTTCATAAGCTTTTTTGTCTTTTATTTTTCTCTTTACATAGCTTTCTTTCTTGTTTTTCTGATGCAGTGAACTCCTCTTTTATTTTCTCTTACTTCTTTCAAGTTACTTTGTTGTTGTTGTTTGCAGTTTGACTTGGTCCCGATCTTTCGGGACACATTGCTGTTGACATCTCTATCATTCTCTGTGCTCTTGGGGGTCAGGAGTTTATAAATAGTCATGGCAGTTGTGTCCAGGTCTCCTGTTTATCCTTCAGAGTACGCACCAGAAAGTCCATGGGAGAATTTTGTATGTTATTGGGAGTTTTCGGCTGAGGACTCAGTGGATTCCAGCTGAGATGCTTTTACTAGGAAACCCTGATATCTGTATCTCCAAGGTTTTCCTCTGGTGCTGCTCAGAGATGATCTTCTGTTCGCTTGTCTGAAGGGAAAAAATACCTGCCTGGAGTGTGCTGGGAGTGGTCGGACAGAGGTCCAGGGTCTCAGCACTGCGCCCCAGGATGGTCTGAGCTTATTCTTGGAAGGGTGGAAGCTTGGGCCACTGAGCCTGACTCTATCTGTTGGGAGATCTGGTTTGCCCCCTCCTCAGGAAAAACCTCTACCCTCCTCCCAAGTCCCCGCTGCCTGAAAACAGGGAGTGGGAGGGGCGTGGCACTGAAGCCTGCAAACTTGTGCCTGATCCTCTCTCCAGCCCAGTGCTCACCATAGGTGAAGCCCTTGGTTCCACTGTGACTCGGTCCCTGGAGTCCTTTAGTGCTCGGTTGGCACATTTCTCAGATCTACCCAGTCAATTGCTCATCACTCCACAAGATCTTGCTACTGTCATCTTCCTCCCTATTCTTCTTGTTTTTATGTGTTTATTTCAGCTGCGTTTAAGGAAACATTGAAACAAAGTGTGTCTGTTCAAGCCTTTGGTGCTCTGAAGGCCCTTTGTCTTCCAGTGCCCATATGAAGTCCCCAAGAACTTCCTGATCAAAGGTGTTTGGATCTCTTGGCCCAGGTGCCCAGCCTGGTGCTAGTGCTGTGATCTGGGTCCTCTCGAGAGTCCACCTGCTTTTCTTTGGGATAGGCAAGCTGGGACTCTAGCATTGACAGTTGCATGTGAGTCATTTGGAGTGGCAGGTCTCAATGAACAGGGGTGCAGCACTGATAAATGGTAGCAAATGTCCCAGACACAGGGCAGCGCTGTCCTCCAAGAGGTGCTGACCTTGAGGAGGTGAGGATTGCCCTTGGTGTTGTTATAAACGTGTTGCCCCCATCTCAGAAGCGCTGGCTGTGCAAGCAGAAAGCTCCGCCTTTGGTGCTGTCCTCCATTGAAGCTCAGCAGCGTCTGCTCCCACTTAGTGCTCCTGGGCCAATTGATTAACACGATGCCCACTGAAGACCCGGGGCCCAAGGCTTCCCAGAGGAGTCATGTGGGATGCTGCTCACAGAACTCTGGACTGGGACGTGGAGAGTGCCCATGGAGGGTCAGACCAGCGTACTTCCTTGACTTGGAGGACCAGTGGGAAAGGGTGCACCATTACTTCCCTACTTTAACAGGAGGAAGTTCTAAAGGAAGGAAATCTAGCTAGAGACCTTCAATAACCTGCATGTGTCATTTGAGAATAATCTGCCTACATCTTTGGTCTTATAACCATTTCTTTTGTGTCAGTCTCTGAAACAAGATGTCTGAGATATTCAAGGAACTAATGTCATTCTTCTAAAATATTTAAACTCCAAATAAAAAGAAAAAAAAAATCTTTGTGTTCTTTTCGAGACCTCTGGCCATCTATGTCACAGTGATGTGGTGTAGAGGACCAAACTTTTGAAGGGCATTCTAAATGGTAACCTTTAAATTAAGTCAACTGTTAGTAACTCCATGACAATGTTCATATGTTATTGCCCTTTTCCTACTAACAAGAACAAAAGGCCACAGCCAGACCAACCAGTCACATGTGAAGGGACACAATGACATTTTTACTTCTGAACTCTTCTGGTATAAAAGGGCCACCACAGAAGCATCTTCCAGCAAGCGTGAGGAATTTGGCAATGAAACCACCTCTCTGCGCAGATATTGGAAAGTCCAACATGATTAGGTAAAACATTTCATTTTTCTTCAATGAGAAATGTTGGGTTTTTATATGCTTCAAATGTGTACTTGTCAATAAGAGACTAAATCTGAGGTGGTTGTTTTTCCTACTCTGCAGCTCATTAAAATTCAGCCTTGTCTTGGCTCTGCTGCTGTCCACAATGCATGTGCTTCCCTGTTTTCCAGTTCTATCATCTCAGGTAAGGGTTTTGCTATGTTTTCGATGCTTGATAGGTGGCTAGACTAGTAGTGCATCTCTAGAGTGCCTAAGTTCAAACTCATCTCAAGGAATTCGGACGGAGCAGGAATTTCCTTTATTTTTAGAGATTTCAATTTAAAAAAAAGTATAAGCAGATTCATGCAAATGGTTAAAGGGAGCCTTATGACTATCAGCAATGCTGGGCTGTGTTAAATGTGTTGTGGATTATTTGGGATGGGCTCCCTGCATAGGGAAATGTTCTTTTCGGTATAAAATGTAATTTCTTGCTCATGACAATCTATTTATTCCACATGCATCATCTCATAGTCACAGCAAACATTTAGCCATTGAAATTACATTAAAAAAATACTATGATCATTTTCAGAAACAGTGAGTTTTCTAGTTTTACAAAAAAAAGGGAGACCTTTTTCAGAGGCAGACTGTAGAGAAAATGTGAGGTTTCAAGGAAATGTTACATAAAATATTAATTCATATATTTATTCAGGAGTATTGATTTAGGTCTCAACCATGCTCACTGAGCCATTTAGGATGTTCAGAAAATGAATGTCTTTCTTTGGAATATTTAATACTATTTCTATGATATTTTAGTTGTTTTAGGTCAATATTTTGGTTAAAATTTTAAAATATCTTTGGTTGTTTATGACATCGTGAACTTCAACTTTTCTTCATTAAAACTTAACCTATCATACTATAATTCTTGAAATCAATGTGATTTATGAAATCAATTATAGGATAAAGAGAAGTCACACCGATCCTAAATGACAAATCTGCGTCCAGACATGATGACCTAGTTATTTATACTACTGGTCCCTCACTGCTCTTGCATCTGCCATTTTTCTATTTCTCATTTACTTAATATAGTTTCTCTTTCCCCTTCTTATCCCTATGAGTATTCGACACTAATTTAGTCATCGATTCTATAAGACACCACATTGATCAAGTTGATGAGTCACAAACCATAAATTGGTATATTGTCTCAAATGTCTTCCTAATGACTTTCTATTCTTCCCCCAAAGATTTGCTCGTGATGTTTCTGTTGAACAAGAGGCACTTGTCTGTCGCTTTTTTAAATTAAAAATGTTCTTTCTTCTAAAATACTTATGAGACCTCTTTGCTCATAAATGAAACATCTCTCCTCCCGCTGCATTTTCTGTATCTCTGCTGTTGCACCTGACACTCTTGTTCTCCTCCTAGCCCATCATCTGGTACTGATGTGGATGGTATTTGTGTCCATTTGATAAAGGTGAAGGTGCACGGAGGAGTTGATTGTGCTTGCTTTGGACTTCATGAAGTCTGTCAACCAGGCCAGGGGCCCACCTGGCAGAGGCTATCTTTGGAGCAGCGAGCTGCTGCCTTCCTGGGAAGGGCTCGGGGAGCTCATGACCAGAGCTGGCACCTTTGTTCTTAGCACAAACTTGGCATCAGGAGCGTTTCTGGAGAGAACTGGATCGCTTCCCTTCCTGCAGTGACTCAGAGGCCCCTCCTGCTGGGAATTTAAAATAGATGGCATTAATCTATCATGTTTAGGTTCCCTGTGTTGAAACAGGGAAAAACACATAGTGGTGTTCAAATCTGAGTTTTTGAATTGGTTTTCTCATAACTGATATTTATGAAACTGTCTTTGCCTATTCCCAAATCAAAAAGAAAGAAAAGAAAAGAAAGAAAACGAATCTGTGCTTCCAGCGGCCAGGAGGAATGGCTTGCCTGGGAAGTCTGACTGCTGGAGCCCCCAGGAGGCCCCCCCTGTGGGAGGGTAGGATTCCAGGAACATCTGAGCCCCTTTTCCACCTCCAAACACAGTAACCCGAGGCCAAACGTTTCTTCCTGCATGGATACAGCAGAGGGCATGATGTCTGCTCTGCGGCATGCCTCTTTATTTGTAATAAAAGCATTCGGCTCTTGTCCTTCTACTCAGTTGAGAAACCTAGGCTTGGATCAGATGCCTCAGCTTTTGAATGACTTTAGCTCCAGGCTATTTTATTTCCTCATCTGAAACCAAGGAATTAATAGTACCTGCTTCATAGAGGTTTGGGGGGAAATAAAACAAGATGAAGTACAGAAAGCATAGCCCAGAGATCACTGACAAATCACTGCTGTGATTACCAATGAGATTTGTACTAGTGTCTCGTCAGTGTGTTGCGATTCTTCAAAACCTTACAAGTGAGAAAGCCTGAGAGTGGTGACAGTTCTCAGGGAGCTCTGGGTCTGGCTCTCCCCTCTATTCCAGTGCAGTTTCCTCATCTGCCAACGTGGGGTTCAACTTTAGACTTAAGTGCCCAGCTCCTGCGCTGGGGTCCAGACCTGGTTCTCGGGCTCAGTGTCCCAACGGTGGCCGGCACAGTTCAGGCCTCCCATGGCCAATGAGGGATGGACGGGAAGCCAAAAGTTGAAGATGCCAGGCTCCAAACAGGGAGACCTCCCTTCAGGGAACCTGGGCAAGTCGCCAGGACAGTCCGGAAGGAACGTGCTCCCGACTGAAACCTGGAATTTGGTCATCCTGGGAGGTGTTTCTAAGGGAATTTTTTTAACGATTCCCAGGACTAATTAAAGCTGCTTGAAACATTCCTTATAAAGTTCCAGCAACAAGATAACTCTGCGGTGTCTGATATAAATGCCGAACAGCAGCAATTACATAAGGAGTGCAAAATTAGATAAGTGGGCAGATCACTCCAAATAATATTTTGTATCTGGATAAAGTATACGTTGTGTTTTAGCATAATATCTGCCCTTAAGAAGATTAGATATAGTGGATTTTTCCCCAAAAGATTTTGAAAATTGTTACTGTTGCAATAAACTTTTAACCTAAAGCTATGTTCTCTCCTCCCTCCCCCACCAGAATCGCCAGGTGTCTGGGAAACCTGATTACTTTCTCGTCCTGCTGAGCAGCTGCCTGGCCAGGCTGGATGGGAGCGAGGGACCAGCATTTTTAAAGCCAATTTTGGAGAAGACATCTATGAAAAGGTCCTTTCGCAATGGAGTTGGCACAGGGATGAAAAAAACTTCCTTTCGAAGAGCAAAACCATGAATAAGTGTGCGAAGGACTCTGGGAATTAATCTCCAACTATGTGAAGTGTGACTGATGGGCTAAAGTCCGTCCTATCGTCATCATTAAGTGTCGGTTGCTCTCAATCCTCAAATCTTGCCTCTCCTAACCGGTTCAGAGTAAATTGAGTTTTAGAAAAATGTAAACCTGTCCCAAACTTTTGCTTGTGAGAGAAAAACCCATTTCTGTGCTCAGTTAGCAACTTTTCCAAATGGGGTCGGACACATTTGCTTTGATTTAAGATTGACTAGAAGGTGTGAGCGTTTGTTTTTTTACAGTCATGAGGAAAGTATGATGTTTTTTCCCTGCCTGTAATATTGCAGTATTGTCATATCGAATACCACAATGAGATAGAGATATGCTCTTTTTTTTTTTTCTTTTAAATATGGTTTTCTCCAATGGCACAGCTGGGCCAACTCTTCTGGGTTTGTAATAGCATCTTGTGAAACTAACTGCAGGAAACATTGTTGTTACCACTGTATCAATCAGTCCATCAATACACACCATGAGTACCACTGGAGCCCTCTGGATGTAATTTATTCTTCCCTTTCCTGGTTTTAAAGGAACTCAAACATGGATTGTCTTGTTAATTTTTTGCCTTTTAAAATTAAAACACAAAGAGGACCGTCCGCTTCTGGCCCTGATGGGTGGGGGAGACTTTGGGGAGCTCAGTCCTCAAAACTGTGCGGATTGAGGTCCCTCCTTCCTCCTAGGAGGTGCCGTCGCCTTTTCCATTGAATCTCTTTGTGAGGTAAGTTACTTTCAAAGGTGTAGTTGTTATCAGTGCTTATTAATACACAGAGTGTGGTACAAATTAATGGGTTTGACTGTGACTTTTCCACGGGAACCCTTGACATTGATTTTTTAAAAAAAAGATACTGCAGCTTTGGGTTGTTGTGCTATTTCCAAAAGCAGGAGGGCAGTACTGGGCTCACTCACCCCAGAGTCTGCAACACACTAGGGGTGTTCACTGGACACCACTCACCATCGCAGAAGCTTCAGAAAGGCACTATCTTAGGTCACCAGCTTTACATACAGACACAGAGACTTCAGAGCATGGTCTCATGTGAGCAGGTCTCAGAGTGGCCAGGCAGCCTGCTCAGTCGAGTGGGTTCTACAAAACAAGTCTTTACATAGGCAGGGCTGGCTGGGGACGGTGCTGGGAGGTCACAGCAAGCCCGAGGACTACACAGATCTGTATTGTCTTGGCCTCTGTGCTTCACGGTGTGGGTGTGGTTTGGTCTGCTCTTGCTGTCTAGATGAGCATGAGGTATGGGGGAAAGCTAGCGAGGCACCAGGGACCTCAGGGAATACATTTAGGGAAGCACAGAGGAGCCTTCCTCATGTGCAAGGCCTTCAGGCGGCCCTCTCTGACCTCTCTGGGACACAGGCTATCTCTTGTCCCCTCCCAATGGCATTTTGCTCCCTAAAGACCAGATGGTCTGTAAGACTATGTGTCTGCTCCCCCAGGACCCTGGCTTTGAGTTGATCACCTCTCAACTCCAGTGCCTAACAACTGGGCCACACCTTCCATTTCCTTTGGGGACAGGGGTCCACTGCTGTCCTCATCCCAGAGCCAGTGTGCAGGGTCCTCTGTCTGAGGACACTGCCGGAGCCTGTGGGACAGAGGGGAAGGAGGGGCACACACACCGCTGTGTGGCCTGCCTTGTGCTCCCTCTGTACCCTGGATCCCAAAGGGCACCTGGGCCCCTTGAGCCTGTTTCTTCTTTCATGTGTTTCACATATAAAGGGACCAGGTGTAGCCTGCAGCAGTTTTTAAACATTTCTTAGGTAAACTCACATTTTCTGAGATGATTTGTTTTTCCTCATTCCTGCTCCTCAAACCACACAGGCGTGTGCACACACCTGAGAGGCGGGCAGGGTTAATTTTCTAGATCCTCAGGCCTTCGAGGACCTGCTGGGTGATGGGCGAGGTGCAGGCGGTGGGTGGTAGGGGGCACTGCCGACACACCAGGATGCTCCTCGGCCCACTCCATCTGCCCAAGTCTCTGGGACTGCAGGTATGTGCCGGTGATGTTCTTAAAAGTCTATGAAATATTCTTTTTTTTGGTGAAGGAAATCCTTTTTCCTTGCTCACTCCGTGTGTCTGGGTGCGGACGAAGGTAAGATGCCCCACTGCACCCTGTGGACTAGCTACCCCATGTTCTTTTGTTTTCTGTCACTGTGGTCCCTTCCTTTGTTCCTATGGGGCAACTTGAACGCTCAGAGCATTCGGCCAGGGGCGGCTCCTCTCTCCGTACCTGAGGCCCCAAGAGGGACTCCTCTCTCAGCACCTGGAAGTGCAGCGAGGAGCTGCCCAAGTGGGAGCTCAAGGCTCTGCGGCACAGGGAGGCCTAACTGGCAATACGGAAAGCACGTCCAATAAAATTAGAAAACCTGCTGTAAGTTTGTCTGCCCAGCACTACTGGTAGGGAGCTAATTAGATAGCCTGATAGGCCTTATTTACTACTTCAAAGCTGAAAACGAGTTACTGCATTAATAAGCTTGGAGTGAGCTTGGCGTCGATAGGCATCTTGTGTACGGAAAATGGGAGATTGCTATTTCAGGGGAATTGTCCTAATTTTCAACTATTTGCATTTATATGGATTGGTTGAAATAATAAAACACCAAACACCCATAATTGGAAAGATTCTCTTTCCATTTCCAGGGCTCAAATATCATTTCAGCCTCGAGGGAAAAGGACTGTGAAAAAGTATTTGCACTCGAAAAATTATAGCAGATTACAGGAGGGCAGATTGGAAGTTTTGCTTTCTGAGGAAAAATTGTACCTTTGATAAGGTTTTAGAAATGAAGTATTAAAGGAAACAAATATCTGAGTCATGTTTAAGGAGAGTCACTGGAGAGGTGACCAAGGATAGTCACCAACCTCCTGGGGAACAGGAGCCCTGATACAAGAAATCGCATTAGGCCATTGACATCTGTCTCTAAGGGCCCAGAGCAACCCTGCCTGCCCGTGCCTAAGGCCGTGTGCAGGAAAATGACAGGGCGGCAGGGTGGCAGAGGTTGTGACCAAAGGGTCCTGGCACCCCCACCCCTCAGCACCAGGCGGCTTTGGTGGAGGCTAGAACTTTATGTTCAGAGACGGAGGCACCAGGCAGAGTTTTGGAAGCCCTGTGAAGGCAGCATCCCAAGGGATGAGTAAGGTTTCAGTTAATTTCCCCCAATCCTGCCTGAACCTGATTGCCTTTCATGTTCTGTGTGGAGTGATTTCATTGGAGGGGAAGGAAAAGAGCCCCTGAGACGTGTAGGTGTCTGGGGAGAATGTCAGTGTGGAGGAGCAGGCCATCAGGAGGCAGAAGACCCAAGAACCCTGGGACCCTGGACCACACTCCAGCCCAGTGCCATGCTTGCTCTGTCGTGCCACCTTGCTCAAGCCTCTAGAAACTTCTGGGCCCGAGTTCCACCACCCCAAGATGGGGCTATTATGACCAGCCTTCGGGGTTGTTTGTGAATTTATTTCTCCATTTGCTCATCACATATTTATTGAGCACATCCCTCCAGGGAAAGTTTTCCAGGTACTGGGAAAGCTGCCGTAAAGAAAACAGATCAAAATTATTGGGATGGAGTTGGAGAAACATGATATACTTGAAATATATTACATGTAAAGTGTGCCCAATAAAATGTGAACAATCTGGCACACTCAGGGAAATTGATCTTTCTTATTTGCCTAGCATTATTGGTGAGAAGCTAATTAGATGAACTGGTAGGTGTTATTTAACATGCACACATACATATAGTATGCACAACATATAATAGTGTGCTGTCGGAACGTACACCCTATTATAATCGTATATATTTGTAAATGTACATAGTATTTTAGACGGTGACAAGGAGAAACAGCAAGGAAGAGAGGGAGCGGTGTGGGGCAGAGTGGGGACGTAATTTCCAATACAGTGACTCGGGAAGCTATAGCTGGAGAAGACTAGCAGGAATTTCAATGTTCTGGGAGCAGAGTGAGCGTAGAGCAGAGGAAAAGAGGTGGAGCCAGGTAGGTCAGGGGGTTTCTGAAGGGTCTCGCAAGACTTGCGCTTTTCTTCTGAGTGACTCAGAGAAATGACATGACCAATGCATCTTTTAGCTTTCATGAGTTTAAAAGAACAAGGAATGAAATACACAAGCAGTAACTTCAACAAAACAGCAGTCCATCCTATGAGTCACAGCAGGCCACAGGTCCCCTTCCTTCCTTGCCTGCTCCACAGCTCTGCCCTGAGAGACAGATAAGTCGGGAGCTGTGGTCTCGGCCAGGACGCCGCAGGGAGACAGGCGCTGTCCCAGGTGCTGAGGGAACTGTGGCTAGCAGAGTGGATTCCTGCCCTTGGTTGAAAACCTGCCTGGCAGGTGGGGTGCTATCCCCCTGGATTCTTTTTTATATGAAAATTGAGGAGTGATTTTGTTCCTACAAATATTTCCTGAAATGTTCATAGAAATATACCAAATATTTTGGAGGGGATGCGTGACAGTAGCTCGACAGCCCAGGCAGATAAATATAAGAATTGAGGCTTCGCCTTTGACACTTGAATTTTGGGGTGCACACCTCATTGTCTTTCTGTTGTTTATTGATTTCTAATGTTGAAGTTTAAGAACAAATCAAAAAGGGCGTCTCCCACAAGAGTTCTACTGCTCCACCCCATCTCTTTCATCTTTGACAAGTTGCAGGAAAGGATCAGTGTTCTGGGGAAGGCAAATCTGAGAACCACTGGATTCTCTTTTCCATATAGTTTCCTACCAGAGTCCTATTCCTGTGCTCAATATCCTCATATCTTATTGGCTTATCAGGCCATAACAGGATGGAAAAAGCATCAAAGAGCCTGTCCTCCACCCTCCCTGTCTGGACTGCTCTCTGAATACTCACACATATGCACACTTTGGGGAAGAGGCTGGCTTCTCGGCTGGTGGGAGAGTGTTGTTTTGTTGCCCTTATGAGAAGAAGGACTGTCTTCTGTTGGACTCTGGCAGCACTCTCAGATGGCATGAGATGAACCCTGTAGCCTGTGGCTCTACCTCTTTTTTTTTCTTTTTAAATTTTTTTAATTGATTTTAAAAAATGACAGTAGAATGCATTACAATTCTCATTACACATATATACCACAATTTTTCAAATCTCTGTATATAAAGTATGTTGACACCCAATTCGTGTCTTCATACATGTACTTTGGATAATGATGTCTGTCACATTCCACCATCCTTGCTAATCCCCTGCCCCCTCCCTTCCCCTCCCACCCCTCTTCCCTATCTAGAATTCATCTATTCCTCCCATGCTCCCCACTCCCTACCCCACTGTGAGTCAGCCTCCTTATATCAGAGAAAGCATTAGGCATTTGCTTTTGGGGAATTGGCTAACTTCACTTAGCATTATCTTCTCTAACGCCAACCATTTACCTGCAAATGTAATGATTTTATTATCTTTTTTTTTTAAAGTAAGACCTAAAGTCTTTTTTTTAAAGAGAGAGAGAGAGAGAGAATTTTAATATTTATTTTTTTTAGTTTTCA